ATCGCCACCACCACCATCATCGCCACCACCACCACCACCATCGCCACCACCACCATCATCACCACCACCATCATCACCATCACCACCATCACCACCATCACCACCACCATCATCATCACCACCATCACCACCACCATCATCACCACCATCATCACCACTATCGCCACCACCACCATCACCACCATCACCACCACCATCACCACCATCATTGATCCACCATCACCATCACCACCATCACCGATCCACCCCCACCATCATCACCACCATCACCACCATCACCATCGCCATCCCCACCATCACCACCATCACCACCACCACCACCATCCTCACCATCATCACCACCACCATCACCACCACCATCACCATCATCACCACCACCATCGCCACCATCACCATCGCCACCACCATCACCACCATCACCACCACCACCATCATCACCACCACCATCACCACCATCGCCACCACCACCATCACCACCATCGCCACCACCATAGCCACCACCACCATCACCACCATCACCACCACCCCCTTATCGCCACCCCCACCATCGCCACCACCACCATCATCGCCACCACGACCATCGCCACCACCACCACCATCACCACCACCATCATCACCACCACTATCATCACCACCATCACCACCATCATCACCACCATCGCCACCACCACCACCATCGCCACCACCACCATCACCACCATCACCACCACCACCACCATCATCACCACCCCCACCATCGCCACCACCACCATCATCACCACCACCATCATCACCACCACCATCACCATCATCACCATCACCACCACCATCATCACCACCACCATCATTACCACCATCACCACCATCATCACCACCATCACCACCATCATCACCACCATCGCCACCACCACCATCACCACCACCACCACCATCACCACCATCACCACCATCATCACCACCATTACCGATCCACCACCACCATCATCACCACCATCGCCACCACAATCACCACCACCACCATCCTCACCACCACCATCACCACCACAACCACTACCATCGCCACCACCATCACCGATCCACCACCATCGCAATCACCGATCCACCATAACCACCACCATCATCACCACCACTACCACCACCATCATCACCATCACCACCATCACCACCATCAACACCATCACCACCACCACCATCATCACCATCATCACCACCACCATCATCACCACCAACATCACCACCACCAACATCACCACCACCATCATCACCACCACCATCACCACCACAACCACCACCATCGCCACCACCATCACCGATCCACCGTCATCACCACCATCACCACCATCATTGATCCACCATCACCACCATCATTGATCCACCATCACCACCACCATCACCACCATCATTGATCCACCACCACCATCACCACCATCACCACCACCATCATCACCATCACCACCATCACCACCACCATCACCACCACCATCACCACCATCACCACCACCATCATCACCACCATCATCACCACCATCACCACCACCATCATTGATCCACCATCACCATCGCGGTCGTCAAGGCGACCCTGAATCTTGGGGGGGGGGGTGGCCTCAGACGTGTTGGTAGCTCCTCCTCCGTCTCAGCCACGCCCCCACAGTAACCACGCCCCCACTGTAGCCCCCCCCCCCCCCCGCTGTAGCGTTGCCACGCCCACTAGCGCTGGGTGAGTGGGTGAGTGGGTGGGTGAGTGGGTGAGTGAGTGGGTGAGTGGGTGGGTGAGTGAGTGGGTGAGTGAGTGAGTGGGTGAGTGGGTGGGTGAGTGAGTGGGTGAATGAGTGGGTGAGTGGGTGGGTGAGTGAGTGGGTGAGTGGGTGAGTGCGTGAGTGGGTGGACTGGGTGAGTGGGTGGGTGGGTGAGTGAGTGGGTGGGTAGACTGGGTGAGTGAGTGGGTGAGTGGGTGGGTGAGTGGCTGAGTGGGTGGATGAGTGGGTGAGTGGATGAGTGAGTGAGTGGGTGGGTGAGTGAGTGGGTGAGTGAGTGGGTGAGTGAGGAGGTTAGTGAGTGGGTGAGTGAGTGGGTGAGTGAGGACGTGAGTGAGTGGGTGAGTGAGTGGGTGAGTGAGGAGGTGGGTGAGTGGGTGAGTGAGGAGGTGAGTGGGTGAGTGAGTAGGTGAGTGAGTGGGTGAGTGAGTGGGTGAGTGAGTGAGGAGGTGAATGGGTGAGTGAGTGGGTGAGTGGGTGGGCTGGGTCATGTAGCCCGCATGCCCAGCCACCGCATGCCGAAACAGCTTTTGTTCGGCCGGATCGAGGGGGCTAAACGGGCGCGGCACGGGCTAGAGAAGAAATGGAGTGATGTGGTACAGGAGGACGTGGAGCTGAGTGGACTTGCCGATGACCGGTACCAGCGGTGTCAAGATCGGCCTCTGTGGAGGAGGCTCGTGAAGGACGCTACTGGGCAGTTGGAGGCAGTCGCCCTCCAACAACAACAGAGGGCGGAGGAGCGACGCTCACAACAACGAGCGGAGCGCCGGGTGGCTAATGGACAGCAGGTTGGCACAGTAGGGGGCACAGGTAGTGCATCAGCCAGTCATCTCAGTCAGTCGACCTGTGGCACCTGCTGGGTCTGCCCCGTGACCTCCTGCCAGCGGGTGTTCGACACTTCACGTGGCCTCAAGGTGCACATGGCCTGGCACAAGCGTCGTGGTGACGTCACCGCCACTTAGTGGCGAATGGCGGTTGTTGTTGTTGAGTGAGTGGGTGAGTGAGGAGGTGAGTGGGTGGGTGGGTGAGTGGGTGAGGTGAGTGGGTGGGTGAGTGGGTGGGTGAGTGAGTGGGTGAGTGAATGAGTGAATGAGTGGGTGAGTGGGTGAGTGAGTGGGTGAGTGGGTGGGTAAGTGGGTGAGTGGGTGGGTAAGTGAGTGGGTGGATGAGTGGGTGGGTGAGTGAGTGGGTGGGTGACTGAGTGGGTGGGTGAGTGGGTGAGTGGGTGAGTGAGTGGGTGAGTGAGTGGGTGGGTAAGTGGGTGAGTGGGTGGGTAAGTGAGTGGGTGGATGAGTGGGTGGGTGAGTGAGTGGGTGGGTGACTGAGTGGGTGAGTGGGTGAGTGAGGAGGTGAGTGGGTGAGTGGGTAGACTGGGTGAGTGGGTGAGTGAGTGGGTGAGTGGGTGGGTGGGTGAGTGGGTGAGTGGGTGAGTGAGTGAGTGGGTGAGTGGGTGGGTGAGTGGGTGAGTGAGTGAGTGGGTGAGTGGGTGGGTGAGTGGGTAAGTGAGTGGGTGAGTGAGTGGGTGAGTGGGTGAGTGTGTGGGTGAGTGAGTGGGTGAGTGAGTGAGTGAGTGGGTGAGTGGGTGGGTGGGTGGGTGAGTGGGTGAGTGAGGAGGTGAGTGGGTGAGTGAGTGGGTGAGTGGGTGAGTGAGGAGGTGAGTGGGTGAGTGGGTGAGTGAGGAGGTGAGTCGGTGAGTGGGTGAGTGAGGAGGTGAGTGGGTGAGTGAGGAGGTGAGTGGGTGAGTGAGTGGGTGGGTGAGTGAGTGGGTGGGTGAGTGGGTGAGTGAGTGAGTGTGTGGGTGAGTGGGTGGGTGAGTGGGTGAGTGAGTGGGTGGGTGAGTGGGTAGACTGGGTGAGTGGGTGGGTGAGTGGGTGGGTGAGTGAGGAGGTGAGTGAGTGAGCGGGTGGGTATTGACGAGAAGGGGTTTACATCTTCAGATTTTATTATTCCGACAATAAATTTTACAGCACCGCTCCCAAACACCCAGAAGCTACAACATCACCAACACGGTAACACCATCACCACCATCAGTATCACCATCACCACCACCACCACCATCATCATCACCACCATCACCATCACCACCACCATCACACCACCACCACCATCGCCACCACCACCATCGCCACCACCATCACTATCACCACCATCACTATCACTACCATCACTATCACTACCATCACCACCACCATCATTGATCCAGCATCACCACCACCATCACCACCACCACCATCACCACCATCACTATCACTACCATCACCATCATTGAACCACCATCACTACCACCATCATCACCATCACCACCACCATCATCACCAACACAACAAACACTCACCAACACTCACCAACACAACAAACACTCACCAACACAACAAACACTCACCAACACAACACAACACTTACCAAACACTCACCAACACACTCACCAAACACTCACCAACACAACAAACACTCACCAACAGCGTGGAGGAGGGAGCTGAGGAGGGGATGGGTGAGTAGTAGTAGTGGTGGTGGTGTTAGAGGTGGTGGTGGTAGTGGTGGTGGTAGATTTGGTAGTGGTAAAGGTGGTGGTAGTGGTAAAGGTGGTGGTGGTAGTAGTAGTGGTGGTGGTAGTAGTGGTGGTGGAGGTGGTGGTAATAGTAGTGGTGGTAGTGGTGGTGGTGGTAGAGGTGGTGGTAGAGGTGGTGGTAGTAGTAGTGGTGGTAGTGGTGGTGGTGGTAGAGGTGGTAGAGGTGGTGGTAGTGGTGGTAGTGGTGGTGGTGGTAGAGGTGGTGGTAGAGGTGGTGGTGTTAGAGGTGGTGGTGTTAGAGGTGGTGGTGTTAGAGGTGGTGGTGTTAGAGGTGGTGGTGTTAGAGGTGGTGGTAGTGGTGGTGGTGGTGTTAGAGGTGGTGGTGGTGGTAGTGATGTTAGAGGTGGTGGTGGTGGTAGTGGTGGTGGTGGTAGAGGTGGTGGTAGTGGTAGTGATGTTAGAGGTGGTGGTGTTAGAGGTGGTAGTGGTGGTAGAGGTGGTGGTGTTAGAGGTGGTGGTAGTGGTGGTGGTGGTGGTGTTAGAGGTGGTGGTAGTGATGTTAGAGGTGGTGGTGGTGGTGGTAGTGGTAGTGGTGGTAGAGGTGGTGGTAGTGGTAGTGATGTTAGAGGTGGTGGTGGTAGTGATAGTAATGTTAGAGGTGGTGGTGGTGGTAGTGGTAGTAATGTTAGAGGTGGTAGTGGTAGTGGTGTTGGTAGTGGCAGTAGTGTTGTTGTTGTTGTTGCTGGTGGTTGTCGTCG